TGGCCTATTTCAAATTCTGTGCATGATCTCTTAGGAACCCTATTCAAAAATCCTCATCTCCTACAGTTCAACTTTCTTCCTCAATTTTTTTCCTTTTAATTTAATTTATTTTAATTTTTATTAGTGAAACACCATGAGGTACAGTTGTAGACTTACAAATTTTTGTGCTTGGGTTTCAGTTATACAATGATCGTATCGTGTTAAGTGAAATGAGTCAGAAAGAGAGGGATAGACACAGATTGCATTCATCTGGGGAACATAAAGTAACAAAATAGGAGACTAACACCCAAGAGTGGCCGAGATTATTACCAGGAGTTTTGCTCCATGGCTTGGAGGCCAGCCACACATGCTAGGGGAAAAGGCAGCTCAGATAGAGAAGGGAGCACCAAATAAAGGGTGTTGGGATCCTCCCAGGATGGGAGAAGCATGCTGAAAGTAGACTATAGACCAAACATGATTGCCACTCAATGCCTCTTTTGCAAACCACAACACCCAAAAGAGGGATACTGGGACCTGTGGTGGTGGAAAATGGGCACTGGGTGTTTGATCATTGTACAATTGAAACCCAAGCACAAAAATTTGTAAGTCTACAACTGTACCTCATGATGTTTCACTAGCAAAAACTAAAAAAAAAAATCTTCCTCAAATTTGAAAAGAGAACAAATAACTAAAACCTAAAAATATGACAATAAAAGTTGTATTTATTTTTAATTATTTTGGTGGGAGGTGGAGGGGGCCATACCCAGCAATGCTCACGGTTTACTCCTGGCTCTTTGCGCAGGGGACCATATGTGATGTCACCATCAACTGTGGTTGGCTGTGTGCAAGGTACGCACCTTAACCTTTGTACTATCGCTCTAGTCCCAAGAATACACATTTTAAATACAAGTAATAACCATTTTCCCCTCAAATTTTTGTTGGTCTAAGACTTCTATCTGAAAAACAGTATTTCCAGGTTTATTGCTCTTATTATACTTTATAGTGGCAAAAAATTTACCAAATTTGGCTTACACCTATTAAAAAAATTATGGGTCCTTCTACAACTGTTTTCTTTAAAAAGAAAATGGTTTAAAGCTTAATTTGGGGAATCTGCTAAGGTCATTTTAAGAACTTGCTTTATGAACTATAAGTAAAAATGAGGAAGGGCAGCTTCATAAAGCAGTTTTAATAATACGCTCTACAATTGAAGGATGGGATGACCAATTTCAAATCAAATTTAGTCCTGAAGACTTCCCAGTATTAGCACTGAAACTTTTCCATCACAGAGATTCTCAATTTAAATTCAGTTTGGATTACTAAGCTCAGAAGACCAACTCCATAATATCTGAAAATTTTAATTAAATTTACAGCTATTTAGCTATTAACAGTTCTGCGCCCTAGTTCTGTGCCACTCTTCCCCAACATTAAATTCATATTCTCCTCAGTTTCCCTTTCTGTCCCTCCCTTCACAAAGTAACAGACTTTGTTCTTAAGTAACAGACTCTACTGGAAGAAATTTGGGGTAAATTTTCCCCTATATACATTATGCAAATTATTTAAGGTGAAAGTAGACTTAACTCCTAAGTTTAAAATTATATTTCAGTTAAATGCCATGTTACAAATTTAGACCAATGTAGCACTGTAGCACTGTCCTCCCGCTGTTCATCAATTTGCTCGAGCGGGCCCAGTAACGTCTCCATCATGAGACTTGTCACTGACTGTGTTTGGCATATCAAATACGTCACGGGTAGCTTGCCAGGCTTTGCCATGAGGGCGAAATACTCTCGGTAGCCTGCCAGGCTCTCCGAGAGGGACAGAGGAATTATACTTGGGTCAGTGAAGGTTGGCCGCGTGTAAGACAAATGCCCTACCCGCTGTGCTATCACTCCAGCCCTTTAGACCAATGAAAATTTAAAAAGTAATTTTTTGGGGTGGGTAGGAGGGTAGTACTGGGGATTGAAACCAAGGCATCATGTATGCAAATCAAGTGGCATTTTGTTGAGGTACATTCCCAGTCAGATCAATGCTATTTTATTTTTTAATTTATTTTTAAATTAATTAATTCATTTTTTTGCTTTTGGGGTCACAGCCAGTGATGCTCAGGGTTTACTCCTGGCTCTGCACTCAGGAATTAACCCTGGTGGTGCTCGGGGGACCATATGGGATGCAGGGAATCGAACCCGGGTCAGTCATGTGCAAGGCAAACGCCCTACCCGCTGTGCTATCACTCCAGCCCCAATCAATGGTATTTTAAAGAAAAAGAAAAAGATTAAAATGTACCAATACTCTCATGAGAAAGGTGCTTGAAGAAACAAACAAAATTGAAAAAACCCTCTAATTTTAGGAGATGCTATATTTAAACTTGATGAGGACCACGTGATTCTATAGCATAGTCCTGAAAAAGTACAAATTACACACATCCCCACACTTTCAAAATATGCCAAAGAATTATTTATTAACATAGGACTTACAGATCACAAAAAGAGTGGTACAGAAGAGCTGGAAAAGGAGTAATCAGAATAAGCATGCAGATCAGTATTTGCAGAGGAATATACCAAAGCAAGTTCAAAAAGGCACATTCACACAGAAAATGTCTAAATTGAAAAAAAAAAAGACATCAGAAAAGCAGCCAAAAAAAGGGGGTGGAGGGTGCTGATAAAATACAAAGATTTTCAGTGTCAAAGAAGAGCTACTTTACAGGTGGTAGGTAGTTAGCTACAAGTCTTGCTAACCCTTTGAGAGTGTCACAAATGAGATTAAATCCTTGCTGCCAACAAAACTTAATCTTAATGAATGCACATAAGATGCTACATGACAGAGATTAAACTGAGTGTGTGTGAGGGGGCATAGAGGTGGGGGAGGGGAAAGCAGGGGAAGACAAAAGCAACCTAACTGAAATTATATGCAGCAAGGGCCCAAAGGGTTAAATGCAATATGCAGCAGAATCAGGCAATGTTATTAGTATCATTATCTACCTTCCATACAAACAATTATAGCAAGAGTTGAAAGAGTCAGTATCCCCTTCAGAGTTAAGTTAGGGTTTCAAACCAGGACTAAGGTCCTGAGACAGCAATCTAGTAGTTTTAATTCACTCATTAACCCGCTTACTTCAATAAGAAGTACTTCAGACTGTAATGAACCTGAGGACCAAGTAAAACCAAACTGCAGGGAAGAAAACCATTTATCCTCTACAATACATTTATACAGTCGTTTTGTTAAAAACAATTTAGTTCATTGGTCAGACATCGAGCCCTTTTGAACAACCGCTCTAAAGGGATACTGCTCCTTTCTGACAGAAGGTTTACAGATCAAAAAAGAGGAAACACTTTGTTTTTTAAGATCCTCAAACTGAAGACACTTGGCTTGAACATTAATTTCCAAGCTAGGAATGTTCGAAACATACAGAAAAGAACATAAGCACAGATTTGTTTTTTCTTTTTTAAACAGTCCAGTCAGAGTAAGCAAGATCAAAAACCCAACCACCCCTCCCCCAAATGAAATGAAAAGTTAAAACAAAAAACATCCCAAACCCAGATTAGACTTCTCTCATAAAGACATCAAGCTTGGCACTGTGAAAGAATATAGATTCACTTTCAGAAAAATAGCTTCTAATTAATAACTTCAGAGTCCAAAAGGTAAGTATCTACGTCATGGGATTTTTAAATAGAAAACAAAGATTGTTGTTCAGAAAACAGAGCACACTCTGCAACCACTGCTGTGGCTCAAGGAGCTCGGAGAAAAATGAGAAACAAAACCGTTCTATCAAACATAGAGCAGCAAAAAGATAGGAAAATATCTGAGGAAAAGTACAAAAAAAGGAGTTGACTAGGGCACAAGGAACTCTCAAGACAGCCCACTGCACTTGGAAAATGCTGTACCAGCGAGCAGGGGCTCGGATAACTTGTTCTGGATTCAGCAATCTACTTAAGAATACACCCCCAGATTTCAATAGCCAAAGGATGGTTGCAGTTTTGTTTTCTGACTTACCAATCAGATCTGTGTAAAACCTGTAATACCTTACAATTTCTGCATGAATCTGTAAACTTGGAAATGCTTAATGTGTCCTTCTCCAGTTCAAAGAGAACAAACCTTCATATGCATAACACATTTGCTAGAATAATACAGTAATACTGAGATAGTTCTCATTGTTAAAGGCCACAAAAATAGGTTTATCCTTCTATATATATGCCAAATAACAAAAAACTAAATAAAAACTAGGACACTTGGTAATCTAGTTTTTAGTGACAGGAACTTGGAATAGAGAATAAATGTTTGCTACATCTAAATCCACAGGAAACGTAAGGAGGGCTCAATCATAAGATGCTTTCAAACATTTTATGAGAAAGTTAGTAGTTACCCTATTCTACCATCTAGAGCTATGTTACAATGCAATACTTCTGGTATCAGAGTTAACACTGGGGAAAAAAAATCACATCTGATTCAATTAACAACTCACGACCTCCTCCTCACCAGACCCTGAACTCCCAAGGACACTCTCTACACTCTCCCTCCTCTTTTCTTGTGGGGATGTGACCAACTGTGGCATACAACTCCTTAGACAGTTTCATTTCTTTAGTCTCACAAGACTCAACTACGAACAGAATACTATATTGGCAGCTGCCACATAAGCCCAAGAGAAGAAAAAGGAGAAACGCTGATTTCACTCACAGAAATGGAGGAACATTACAGACACTGCAAAAGTCTTTATCATTTCTGGCAACGTGGGGTTCTGTTAGCAACAGACTGTTTTGTGCCTCTGTAACACTAACTTGGTGTCAGATTTCAAAATGAAAATATTTTGGCTATCCAGTATAAGTACAGTATTCATGATATCTCTCTATCCGACTAGCTACTGAATCAAACTAAAGACTTTTTTTTTTTAAGGATTGGCAATGAAGAAGATAATTACTGGAAATTCATAAAGGTTAAGGGCCAGACTTACTCTTCGTAAAATGAACTCCCACAGAACCATCTCTGAGACCTACAACACCATCACCAGAGCAATCGTACCAATTCCTCACCTGCGGCAGGAGGATGCTGGCCACTAACTGTTGGCAAATCCAAAGAGCTATCAGACATGACATGTTTAAGATCTCCTCCTACATCAGCCAGTTTCATGTCAAACTGAACAGAGAGTGCATCTTCGGAGTCCTCCTTGCCAACGCTGCTGCCGCCAATGGAAGGGAGATCCAAAGACTTCACAGAAGCAGAGTCTTCTTTGGCGTGTCTGAAAGCCATCGCTTTCTCGCCCAGGGACTTGTCTGAGCTTGTGGAAGAAAATTTATTGGAGTGGAAGTCAGCAAAATCATCATCGCTTTTGGCTGAAGGAGTGTTCTCTTTCAATTCTTCACCACCCAGTCCGGATCCTTCCAGAGAAAGCTGTCTGAAGACGTCGTATTTGGTGGATGGAGCAACGGAGTTTGGTCCACTTTTCACAGCGCCGCTTGAGCTACTGGTGACAGGAGTGGGACATGCTTCCTCCCTAACGGCCTCATATTTCTCCTCTGCCTTTTGCTCGCATGAAATGGAGCTATTACTGAAAGCCATAAAATCTGCAAAGTCGTCCTGCTCCCCAGTGGGTGCTGGACTAGAATATTCCCCAAAAAGGCTGAATTCTCCAAAGTCATCAGCCAGACTAGAAGTTTTAGTTGATGCCAATGCGGCTGTAGCTGCAGATGCTGCTGGCTGGGGTCGTGTGGAAACAGATTTTGAAGCATTAAAGGCAGCAGGAAAAGACAACGGCTTCTCACTGCTGCAGTTAACTGAGGAAAACATGTCTAGGTCAGCTAAGTTCAGAGGGTTTTTCACTTGAGTTTGTTGTTTCTGTTGTACAGTTCCTGAAGGAAAAGCTGCTGGAAAAGTTTTGTCTTTAGTTGGTGGCTCTAGTGGTGATACACTATCGGCGGTTTTAAAATCAGTGAAACCCTCATCAGTTCCTGCAGATCTGAATTCGGCAAAGTTTTCTCCTGAAAGAAAAAAAAATACAACCAAATAACTAAGAAAAAAATACAACCCAAAGGCCACATGACATGTATTTGCAAGCATATGAAATTACAAGCTTCATTTTGTAAACTTTCCCTGACATTATTTAATCACAATTCAAAAACCTAAAAATAATTCCTTTGGAAGCCACCTATCTATTTTCACATTGAAGGTTAGCGACTGGGAAATAAAAGCCAAACTGAGAACACCAAAAGTAATGTTTTCATCTGTTTATTATTATGTGCTATGATCCCTAATCTGACATCACCAGATTAGGGTGATGGCAATAAACACTGCTCATCAGATGCTTTCTCACAATAGTGAGCCAACTAAATAAGCATCGTAGCATAAGAAACAGGTGCTGAAGGTTCCTGAAGAGGGGCACATTCATGTAGTGGCACACTGAAGATAAAATTTGGGGGCTGGGGGGGTAACTCAATGATGGAGCAAATGCCTGCATAGGCAAGGCTAAGTCCGATGCGCAACACTGCATGGCCTCCTGAGTGCTACTGGGTATAACCCAGGTGTGGCCCCACATAAAAAATGTGCCGCTGAGATAGTAAAGAGCTTGTCTTGCCTCCGCTAAACCTTGTTCAAACCTCCAGTACCACATTCAGTCCTCTGAACACTGTCAGAGGTCACACTTCACCACAGAGTCAGGAGTAGCCCCTAAGCACGCTAGGTGTGGCTTCAGCGCCTCCACCCCCAAAATTAAAAATTAAACATAAAGGTAAAGGTAAAGGCCCTCCCGTTGATCGTCGATTTGCTCGAGCAGGCCCAGTAACGTCTCCATTGGAGACTTTGTTGTTACTGTGTCTGGCATATCGAATACTCTCGGTAGCTTGCCGGGCTCTCCAACAGGGGCGGAGGAATCGAACTGGGGTCGGCCATGTTGGCCACTTGTAAGGCGAATGCCCTACCCGCTGTGCTATCGCTCCAGCCTAAGGTAAAGGCCCTCCCATTGATCGTCGATTTGCTCGAGCGGGCCCAGTAACGTCTCCATTGGAGACTTTGTTGTTACTGTGTCTGGCATATCGAATACTCTCGGTAGCTTGCCGGGCTCTCCGAGAGGGGCGGAGGAATCGAACTCGGGTCGGCCATGTTGGCCGCGTGTAAGGTGAACGCCCTACCCGCTGTGCTATCGCTCCAGCCCCCCAAAATTAAACATATTAATAATAATTAAGAAAATATATCATAGATAGAAATAAAGTTATGGAAAATCCACATGTAAATCTACAATCTGCCATGTAGAACACTCTGCTCCCTGAGGTACTTTACTATTGGTCTTTACTATGTGGTCTTGTTCCACAATACAGAATCATTCATTTGAAGGCAATTTTGATAAACTTTATTGAGTAGGTGTCTACTAACTTGCAAAACACTCTAGCTAAGGGCACATTTTAAAAACAAAATTTAATTAAAGCTGGCATTCAAATAACATAGTTGCCTTAAATACACTATATTTGTAACAAATAAAAAAGCATGGGAAACAATGTTTGACTTTTCCTCCTTATCTGAATTACTTAACTAATTCACCAGGATAATTCATCAACACTGAGAAAGCTATATAATATTACTAGGAAACATTTAGAAAGAATAAGGCAGTATTCTGAATTTCTGTATTTCAGGTTTTTTTTTTTTTTTTGAGGTGCTGGAAGTTGAATCTAGGGCCTTAGACATGTGCGACATGTGGACCACTAATGAGATGTAGGCTTGGGCTCATATTTTATGCTCTTAAGACATATGACTAATGAAAGTAAGGTCAATTTCACAAACTAAGAGAAGCAGATGTAAAACTTTGAAGACCACCCTACAATTTTAGGCAAGTTTATCATTGATCCGTATTATTATTTTTGTAAATAATAAAAAGTTATAGAGTTAATTTTTGGTTCTGGGGCCATACCTGGTAGGACTTGGGAATTGTTTCCAGGGGACCAGGCAGTACTGGGGATTGAACCCAGGGCCTCACATATGAAAGACAAATGCTCTACCAATGAGCCATACAACTGGTCCAGTAAGCAACTAATTTTATCACAGACTAAATTTATGCTGGGCTGCTTTGAAATATTGTGAAATTGACAAGTTTTACTTAGCTATTAAAAAAATCACCACAGCAAACTAAACTTACTGCTGATTTGCAAACTTTTCCATTAGAAATGTAAGCTGGGTGAGAGAAATTTAAATGGATAGATTTACAAATTTAATAGTGAAAGTAATTTTTTTGCATGAGTTAATTGTATAGCAGGATTTAGTGACAAACATAATCCTTAACACATGTTGAGGCTCGAATTTCTTTGGTTTTGATTATGGGTCACACCCACAGTGCTCAAAGCTTACTCCTGGCTCCGCACTTAGGTCACTCCTGGAGGGCTCAGGAAACCAAATGGGGTGCTGAGGATTGTACCCAGGTAGGTCTTGTGCAAGACAAATGCCCAACCTGCTTTACTATGTCACCAGGCCCTAAATTATCATTTAATATTCTCTCAACTCTAAGCCCTTTCATTCAGAAACAGGAACTACACACGTACAAAAATTCTTATTTCATCTAATTAAACTGCAAGCAGGGGCCAGAGTGATAGTACAACAGATAAGGAGCTTGCCTTGCACATGGATGACCTGGGTTTGATCCCTGGCACCCATATTTTTCCCTGAGTCTACCAGGAATGATCCCTGAGCACACAGCCAGTAGTAAGTATTGAGTACGGCTGGGTGTGGCTCAAACCCCCATCAAAACAAACAACCCTATAAAAACTACAACCAATTAAAAAATTTTGTAGTATGAAAGATTGCTGCCTTTTGCATAGTTCAGACATTTCAAGGTTTATTGAACATTATAATAATAAAAGTTGGGGCAAGAGAGACAGTATAGCAGGTAAGGAGTTTGTCTACAAGCAGCAAACCCAAGTTCGATCCCCAGAACCCCATATATGCCCCTGAGCACTACCAAGAGGGAGCATTGAGTACAGAACTCAGGAGTAAAACCCCATATAGTCCCCTGAGCACTACCAGGAGAGAACATTGAGTGCTGAACCCAGGAGTAAAACTGGGCATCACTGGATGTGGCCCCAAAACCAAACCAAATAAAAGTACTCACATCCTGCATTTTATTTAGGGCTCTAACATGATTTAAGGCTTCTAGTGAAAGGAAATGTAGTCAGGAAAATGTATCAACTTGCCTAAATTTGAAAAGATTCCCCTAAAAATGAACCATAATTTTCCTCCTCTAATTTTCAGTCATTGAATAATGCTGATTGTTACTGAAAGAATCCCCCGCCCCTGCCAAAAAACAATCCCTTTTTATTAACAAGCAAATTTGAGAAACAAAAACTTACCTAAAGACTTATTCTCTGCTGTCTGTTCGAGTTCTCTGAAAGCACTATATTTATCACCAGACTCTGTGATGAAAGACAGAAGTTTAATTAAAGCTAAGGACCCTGAGATCAGGGGCCGGGGATGTGGCCCAATGATAAAGCGCATGACTTTCATGCATGAAATCTTGGTCTGATCCCTGGCACCACAAAAAGAGGGACAATTTTTTTTAAAAGACTGAGATCACAGTTTAAGGAAAACAGACTAGATTAATAAAACAGACTTACATATGGTATGAAGCATTTTACACATTCACCATGAAAGACAACCATGAAAAACAAAGACTGAGGCTGGGTATGTGGTCACGTGGTAGAGTACATGCCTTCTTGCCTTGCATGCATAAGGCCCTGGGTTAGAACCGTGGCATCCAAAAACTAATTGACATTCACAGGTTTATGACACGTGAACTGTTTTTACCTCCAAATGGAACCGTATTTTCAGAGGACTTGTCAGTTGTAATTCCTTTAAACACAGCATATTTATCTGCTGAAGCAGATGTTTTAGTTCCAGAAAGTGGCATCAACAAAGAAGGGGCACTAAAAGGGGGAAAAAGATTCCTTAATGATCAGAACATCAAATTATTCATCACGTAGAAAATTAGAATTAAAATGACAAACAGATATCTGGTTAAAACTCATGGATCCCTACTTTAAAATTGGAAACTGGGGGGGGGGGGGGATGTGGAATTTTTAAATTGAGTTGAACTATACTTTTCCTCCATAAATTTGCTTAAAATTTTTTTTGGGGGGGGGCAAATGAGCAGTGCTCAAGCTTCCGGCTCTGTACTCTGAGATCACTCTTGGTGGTGCTCAGGGAACCATATGGGGTGCCAGGAGATCAAAGCTGCATGCAAGGCAAGTAGTCACTTGCCTGCTGTACTCTCTCTAGCCCCCATAAATTTGCTTAATTTCATAAATAAAATGTAAAGAAATGAAAAACAGTAAAAGTTAGACACCGGGGCCAGACAGAGAGTAAAAGGGTAGCTGACGCTGGGTTTGATTCTCAGTTTTGCATATCCTCTCCTGAGCACCACTAGGAGTGACCCCTGAGCCTCGTTGGTTGGTTTTGGTCCGAGCCCTTCACCCTCAATTAAAAGAGCATTCAAACAAGTAATTCTTTTCTTGATTATCTTCAAAGGATTTGATGCATGCAGACTGTTTAATCTGTTATTCAAGCTGTAACAATAAATGGAATGTCATGGGGAAACAAGAGAATGATGACCTGTCATTTTAATTTAAGGTTCATAAAACTGCAAAGTGGGAGCCAGGGAAGTGGTTCAAGAGATACAGCACATGTCCTCCATATGCAAAGTCCTAGCTTTGATCCCTGGCACTGCATGGACCCCTCCTTCTGAACAGTACTGCCCTATGTAGCTTGAATCTTGCTGGATATGACTTCCGTAGCCATAAACCACTGTCGACCTTGTTTTTTTCTTGTTTCTTTTTTAATTAACTTTATTGAATCACTGTGAGATAGTTACAAGCTTTCATGTTTGGGTTACAATCACACAATGATCAAACACCCCTCCTTCCACCAGTGCACATTCCCCACCACCAATATCCCCAGTATACCCCCCCCTTTCCCACCCTCCCTCTGCCTCCATGGCAGACATGACTCCCCATAATCTCTCTCTACTTTTGGGCATTGTGGTTTGCAATACAGACCATCAGAGGTTATAATGTTTGGTCCTTTATCTACTTTCTGCACACATCTCCCATCCCGGCCAATTCCTCCAGCCATCTTTTTCTTAGTGATCCCTTCTCTATTCCAGGTGCCTTCTCCCCTTTGCTCAAGAGGCAGGCTTCTAGCTATGGAGAAATCTATCTGTCCTGTGTATCTACTATCCTTAGGTGTCAGCCTCATGTTATGTTGTTTTATACTCCACAAATGAGTGCAGTCCTTCTATGTCTGTCCCTCTCTTTCTGACTCATTTCACTTAGCTTGATATTCTTCATTGGTTTTCATAGGTCCATCTCTGCCAGCTGTGGCCCTGGGATACCCAGTACTGAGTATGGCCCCAGTTTAAAAAACCCAAAAGACAAAACTGCAGGAGTGAAGAGCTCCAGGTCTGGGGAGATAACTCAGAGGCGTAGGACATGCCTTACATGCAAAAGTACCTGAGTCTGGGGCTGGAGCAATAGCACAGTGGGTAGGGCATTTGCCTTGCACGCGGCCAACCAGGGTTCGATTCCCAGCATCCCATATGGTCCCTTGAGCACCGCCAGGGGTAATTCCTGAGCACAGAGCCTGGAGTAATCCCTGTGCATTGCCAGGTGTGACCCAAAAAAAGCAAAAAAAAAAAAATAAAAAAGTACCTGAGTCTGCTCCCTGGTACCACTTGGACCCCTGACCCTGTAAATCCCCAAACACCTCTGACAATGCCTGGTGCCAATCATCTGGCACTGTTTGGAAGACTCTCAGCTTCAAATATATACACCTAATTACTCTTTCTCAGTGCTCAGGGTTTTCTCCCAGTGGTGCCTGGGGGACCACATGGTGCTGGAATCTAACCCTGGCCTTCTACATGCAAAACATGCTCCAGTGGTCCTATAACCAGCATCTTAACATAAATCATGTTAGCTTCAATATATATTATTTCCTAAAGTGGGCTCAGAATGCAGAGGTGTTATAGTTAAGATAAAATTTTACTTATTGTGGGGTTGGAGCAATTATATAGTGAGTAGGGCATTTGCCTCGCACGCTGCCAAACCAGGTTTGATCCCTAGAATCCCAGGTGGTCCCCTGAGCACTGCCAGGAACAATTTCTGAGTTCAGAGCCAGGAGTAACCCCTGAGCATCTCGGATGTAGTCCCAAAACAACAACAACAAAAATCTATTTATCATACCATAAATGTTAATACAATTACACTGTTACCTGACTGATAAATAACATTTAAAAAATATAACTGAAAGTCAGTTTGTGAAATGTTCAAATCAAGACGTAAGTTTTCTTTTTGATCATGTTTCAGTGCTTACTGGCAGATGCTCACAGATCTGATAGGCAACAGCAGAGTTAAAACAATCTGCATCTTTACAAGGGTGACATCAGTGGTTCCAGATGCTAGCTTTGTAGAAAAACAACAATTGCTTGAAAATTAGATACAGATACTTTTGACTATGGATGGAAAAGTAGTAGTAATGAATTGTATATGTGTGGGTAATCCTCGGATAGCTTAAAGGCATACTATTAAAAGCTTTGCTCCCCCACCCCCTTCTCCTTATCAGACTCAGGCAGGTCTGTGGAATCTTTGCACATGAATGACTACATTTCACTACTAGCATGTGCCATTCAATATCACATGCACATTCTATAAATGGATTTCCATTGAGTTATTTGCCTTTGAGCAAAAATCTTTCCAGTCATTCTTATCAGCAGCCTACAAGCAAGGGGAAAACCCAGCTCTTACACAGGCATGGAGGTTCAGAGTCCTTTAGGACTTAGTGCTTCAAATATTGTAACTTCTCATCGCTAATAAATATCTGCTATATATTTGATCTTGACAAATAGGTTATATTCTATGTATTATAGGTAGATTTTTAAAAAAATGTTTCATAAGGAAGCTACAACTCACTATACAGAAAGGTATACAGGACTAAAGGTAATTAATGTCATGGGGGGAAAAATACAAATGTGAATTTATTTTTCATGATAAGCCAACTTTAGCTACTGGTCTTTAAAAGTACATTGGAAAGGGGTTAGAGAAAGTGCAGAGATTAGGACATAGCTTGCATGTGGCCAACCCTGATTTGACCCCCAGCACCACACTGTCCCTAGAGCATCACTGCTGGACAGAAGCCTCAGAGCCTCAGACCTCTCAGACTGAACTACTGCCCAGTGAGCTGAGAAAAGCCAAGAGGGGTCCCTGGGTCTTCCTAGCAGCTCTTTAGAGCACCCCTCCAATCAAAAAGAAAAAACGCACACTGTCAAAATTATCTGAAGGGAATATTTCATTGAGATTATAAATTAAAATTTCTGCCCCCCCCCAAATTTGGGGAAAAATAGAAATATTAAAGGTGATGAACTGCTATTTGAAATTAATTAAATACAATTCAATTCAAAGAGTTATGGTTCATACTAAAATTTTTATGACTACTACAAATTTTTATGACTATTACAAATTAGATCCTGAACGATCGGTTTGAGGCTCTTCGTGTTCCTAGAACGAACAGACGCCATTGGGCTACACTAGCACGTGACAGGGATAAATGGAGACGTTACTGGCGCCTGCTCAGGCAAATCAATGATTAACGAGAAGTCAAGTGATCAAGTGATTACAAATGAATTAATTCCAGTTTTCTCTACATCCACTTGTTTTGGGGCCACACCCAGTGGTGCTCAGGGCTTACTCCTGGCTCTGTGCTCAGGGATCACTCCGGGCAGGGCTCAGGGGACCATGTGGGATATCGGGGATTGAACCCAGCTTGGCTGAGTGCAAGGCAAATCCCTACCCACTATACTATCTCTCCAACCGCCCCCCACCCCCTGCAGTTACTTAAAAAAAATCTACAATCACCATGAAAATGTTTATGCTACATATAGCAGTCATTATCTATTTCAAATATAAAGTTATTTCTACTTTTCCCTCCCTTCTTTTTCTTTTATGTTTCTGGGTCACATCCAGTAATGCTCAATGCTTAGGGTTTACTCCTGGCTCTGCACTCAGGAATTACTCTTGTTGGTGCTTGGGGGACGATATAAGATGCTGGGAATTGAACCCAGGTTTGTCGTGTGCAAGGAAAGCATCCAACCCACTGTCCTATCACTCTAACCCCTATTTCTACTCTTCAATGCCACTGAAACGTACTCATGTAAGAGAGGTGAACTGTTTTAAAATGATAAGTTTGCACACTGGTGGTTACACTAGTTGGTGGGGGAATTGGTTGGAACACTGAATGCTTAAATGCTTGAAACAACTGTACTATGAACAACTTTGTAAATCGTGGTATTTAAATTTTTTAAAAGTTGAGCTTGCACACCACTGAAAAGACTAGAGAACTGGCCACAAAAAGATATTTTGCTTTTCCTCCAGTGTACCCAATTAACTTTTCCTAATCATTCCACGTGGCTCTAACAGATGGTTGTACTTAGTAGCTCATTCTGTTTAATACACACATTTAAATAGCAAAATAAAACAAACTAACCAAATACAATCTTGGCCCCTTAGCTCCTTTACCCCTCTATTCTACTGTCAATGTCCCATGACTAATTACTATTCTAAGCTCTCCTGTGCCTGGCACATAGTATTTTCCGAGTGGATAAGTGAATAATGGTGCTGTCTTCCAGCCTCCCTTTCATGTCTGAGGAGCAAGTTTAAGCACTATTTCTCCTCTCATTTGACAACCAGTTCAACACCAAGTCCAATCAATTACTCAGACCCTTCTCAGTGTTTGTAACCAAATCTAGAATAACTCATTTACAACAGGACTGCCATGGCAGCTGAATTTATCTCAACTAAGCAGCAGGAATCAACATCATGTTGTCACTTTTTATTTCAAAAATACTTTACAGATTATGTCACAAATCATAAGACATCTGGTATTTCCCTTAATGATTGTCATTTTTTTCACAGACCAACAATACTTGTCATCCTGGCCCATTTTTAAGACGCTACTTTCTTTTTTTATCTTCTTGGACAAATGCTCATTTTCTGCCTTAAATATAGCCCAAAGAGGTCATTCTTGCTGTAGGCTTAGCTATTCATACTGTGACTTAACATAGAGACTTTCAAGATAAACACACATATGAAAGACTGTATCATAAACTAGAAAATTCACTATATATGAGTATATAAACCTGGACCATTTCTAAGAGTTTCTAAGAAAACACAAATACCCAGATTAAACTTATTTATAGCAGGAATTGTATTTTGCTGCTGCATTTCTAATACCTACTCTCATCTATGTCTGGCATATAGCAAGCTGATGCTACATAAAAGCTCCTGAAGGAGTCAATGAACAATGAATGGGAACTTGCAGACACGAGCACAATGTTTTTATAAAAGGAAAGCATGGGGGGTGGGGGCTGGAGTGATAGCATAGTGGGTAGAGCATTTGCCTTGCATGTGGCCGACCTGGGTTTGATTCCCAGCATCCCATATGATACCCTGAGCACCACCAGGAGTAATTCCTGAGTGCAGAACCAGGAGTAATCCCTGTGCATCACCAGGTGTGACCCCCCCTCCAAAAAAAAAATAGAAAAAAAAAGTAAGCATGGAAGCAGTGAAGTCAAAATGGAAATTCTGTTTTTTGTTTTGACTTGGGGAGGCCACACTGGTAGTGCTCACGTCTGCACTCAAGGATCATCACTACTGGCAAGGCTCAGGGGACCATATGGAGTGCTGAGGATTGAACCCAGTTCAAGCGTTTGCTTTACCTGCTGTACTCTCTCTCTGGCTCCCAAATGACATTTCAGTTTGTAAGATATGATTGCATACAAAAGTGAAATATTACGTGGACACTGCCCCATAAATTCCTATTACTGTTTCTCAGGTCTGGTTACCTCTTAAAACTTCTATCTCCAAATTCTGATTTTATCTATATTAAGATACTTTTTACCCCAGAGGATAAAAATAACCAATTCGATAAACTTGTTGCAATAGAGCCCATATTTCATTTTGCTATGTTTTGTTATGTTCTGATTTATTGTACTTCATAAATACTGATATATTTTTGTTTCTGGACCACACTTGGAAGGAAGGTGCTCAGGGTCACTCTTGGGTCGGTGTCAAGAAGGCATGTGGTACTGGGGATCAAACCTGGGAATTTTACATGTAAAAAATGGTGTCAACTAATTTGTGTCTTACTGTCATATTTGATTAAGTTATATATGCATACACACATATGTATTTTGACACAATGCTACCTCTTCAGTGATTCTGGGGGTCACCAGGGATACACTGAGAGGTACCTGGGAGACACATGGAGGTTTGGACTAACTCCCAGCCCCGTGTATTCCAGGCATGCACTTCCCCCTAGAGCCCTGAACATATTTTTGAGCCACACGTGGCGGTGTTCAGGAGTTTCTCCTGGCTCTGCATTCAGAGATCACTCCTGGTGGATTTGGAGGACATATGGGGTTCTGGGGATCAAGTCAAAGTCAGCTGTGTGCAAGGCAAGGCCCTGCACTCTATACTATCTCTCCCAACTTTCATATGCCCTGGGAAACAAAAAAAATTTTTGTATGACTTGCTTTCCCATTTTACTGCAGTGGCCTGGAACCAAACCTGAAATATACCCCAGGTGTGCTTGTATTTCCACCTCTATGGATCACTTATGGGATAAGAACTACATTGAGAGAAATATAGTATCCTATTCAGGTTCTTAATTGTCTAATGAGGTAAATAATAAAGCCAGAAAGTACAAATCAAGGCACCGGTACTTGTAAGGCATTTTTGACATAGTGAGGATTAATAAAAACTAATATAATAACTTTAACATTGAGCTTATTTTTGAGATAATTGTAGACTGAGGGAAAATAATGTAAAAGACCAGAAATTTAAAGTCTGGTCTAGATGAAGAGTATGTTCTGCGTGGAGTTACAGGCCTGGCGGAAGCATAAGTATTAGTGAAATGGCAAAGAGCAGAGAGATAGGCAGGAAGGGAATGTCACACACAATCTTTCTCCAAGCCAAAAAAAAGCTACTGGAGTCAATGACAATAAAAGAAGAGGGAGCCCTAACAAAAAAAATGTCTTTGATTTGGTGACCGGATATAATGACGTGATTCACCAAGGAAGGAAAAGATAATCTAATAGCTTAAATTGGAAAACAATTTAATTTTAAGATGGTAATTTGAGAAGTCTGGGTGACTTGTTTTTTAAAAGAAATTAAAAACAATGAATTTTGTTAAGAGAAAAAGATTGGGGCTGGAGCAATAGTACAGCCGGTAGGGTGTTTGCCTTGCACGCAGTTGATCTCTGGCATCCCATATGGATCCTGGAGCACTTCCAGGTCTAATTCCTGAATGCAGAGCCAGGAATAACCCCTGAACATAACTGAGTATGAACCAAAATGAACAAAAAAAAAGAGAGAGAGAAAAAGATCTAGGGACTAGAGTGATAGTACTGTGGGCAGGGCATTTTGCCTTGCACATGGCTGACCTGGGTTTGATGCCTGGCACACCATTGTTCCGCAGGCATTTAAGGAGCAATTCCTGAGTGCATAGTCAGGAGTAACCACTGAGCACCACCGGGTGTGGCCCCAAAACAGAAACAAATAAAAAATGAGTTAAAGATCTAGTAAAGAAATACAATCTGTGGGGGTTGGGAGTTGGGAGGGAAACTGGGGACATTGGTGATGGGAAATGTATACTGCTGAAGGGACAGGTGCTGGAATGTTGTATGACTGAAACCCAATCATCTTACTGTGTAGCTCACTGTGATTCAATTAAGAATGAAAAACAACAGCAAAAGAAATGCAATGTGTCTCTTGGGTTAATTATACAGTTGCTTGTGTAGAGGGCTTAGAAATTTACTTGCACAGTATTTTTCTTCTATGTGTCGCTCTCATGTTCTCTTAAAAACACAAAAATCTCTTTTCCTAATTTATAATTCCCTATAATGTCTATCTCTTAGTTACATAACAGTGTCTATGCAGCAAGTGTTAACCATGAAACAACTGAGTGATTAAAATATAAGATCAATTAAATTGCACCAACAAAAACACAAGAGCAACAGAGTATGTATTCTAATAAAAACAAGTTTTAAAAATAAAAGCAATGAAATTCTTCTTGCTTACTCAAAGTTTGGTATGCTCCACTCTGTGAAAGAGTGAATACTTTAAAAAAGTGAGTGAGGGGGTATGGTGCTGCCAGCAGGTCAATCTGTACCTGTGAGACGAGTGCATCAGCGGCCTTATGGTGCCTTTAGACTTCTAGATACCCCCAAACTGCTGTTGTGCTTTTGGCCAGACCCCAACAACTTGGGGCAAAGTTTACCAAGAAAGTAAATGGCCGAAAGTTAGGTATGTGGGAGACACACCCACAAACAACCTCCAGCTCAGCTATATAATTGGAGGCAAAGCCTCTCTGGTTCCTGATCAAACTGCTTAACGGTCATGATCCCAGAGACTCAGAAACAAATCTCGGAACCCAGAGGCTTGTGGCACAAATGTGTCCGGTCCCCACAGTTGGTCACGGGTGCCGAGTCACCCCAGCGGGGAAAGGGTGCTGTCCCTCCTCCTGCCCCCCTTTGGCGGCTCGGTGGCTGGCATCCTCCAGAGGCCATTGGACAGTCAGATTTGGGCTTGCAGTGACGAGACATGTGGGGCCTCACGGGATAGGGGTGGAGCTGGCCCTTTCCTCCCCACCCCAGGTCACCACCCACAAACAGCCTCTCTGGCTCCTGATTAATCTGCTTAACAGCCATGATCCAAGAGACTCAGGAACGAATCTTGGAACCCAGCAGATTTGGGCAGAAATCCCTCCAGATTTAATTGTTAAAATTTCATAATTCCAAAATCGCGCAGCCACAGTAGTGGCAGCACAACATTATATGTTATTCATAACCAACAATAGAAAACAAATTGTCTATGGTTGCCTTTTCAGCAGATCTGAATGTTTGGGGTAAAATCCCAAATAATAATCGTGAATCTGGTGTTGAAATACTGAATGTAATCAAAGTAGAGAGAGAGTAATGTGGAAATCATCTGCCCCACAGATAGGAAGAGGGTGTGGGATGGGGGGTACACTGGGATTTTTGGTGGTGGAAAATGGGCATTAGTGAAGGGACGGTTGTTTCATCATTGTATGACCGAGACTTAAGCACGAAAGCTTTGTAACTGCTCTCATGGTGATTCAATAAATAAATTTATAAAAAGGGAAAAAAGAAAAAAAGGAAAGAAATAAAAAAGTGAGTAGTGGGACTGACAGCACAGCGGGCAGGGCATTTGCCTTGCACGTGGCCGACCTGGATTCGATTCCCAGCATCCCATATAGTCCTCCAAGCACACCAGGAGTAATTCCTGAGCGCATGAGCCAGGAGTAACCCCTGTGCATCACCGGGTGTGACCCAAAAAGAAAAAAAAAAGTGAGTGGTATGGAAAGGTATGGATAATGCATACTTAGATTTCGTACAAGAACATGAAGTTATCAGTCATCACAGCATAGGTGCCCTCAGTTATAATAAATCAGGTGTCATACAAGCAAAAAACGAAAAGCCAAAACTGGCCTGGAGGGGTACATAGGAAGAAAAGGCTGAAGCTTAAAATTTAAGGCAGGCAGGAAGACAGACACACAGGGGAGAAAAACTTAGAAAGTGAATTATAAATACAGAGGGAAATCCCAGAGGAGCACAAGTGAAGTCTTTATATAGACATACGCAGGGGCCACCCCCAGTGTACTCAGGCGCCACCAGTGCTCGGAGGGCTGTATGGTACCCAGGTTGCAGGCAGGGCTTTGCATATGCACGCTGCATGATCTAACACTTATTTCCCTGGCCAGAGAGTGAAGAGTCTTGATAGTCTTTTTTGGGGTTCTCACTGGGAACACCTCTTGCCCAATTACTAGAGACATTGCTAACGGTAACAAAGTCTTTCTACCTGTTTCCTTGCTGGGAAGTGGCTGTTTTTGAAGAAGCAGGTAACTCTTGGAAATCACTGAAGGAGACATCAAGGGATCCTGGCTTAGAAGCATCTTGAAATTCCTGGAAGTCATCCTCTTCTGGTTTTACCTATATTTACAAGGGACATTTAAATGGAAAGCATCAAGTTGGTAAGATAGTGACACATCTCCTGCTGCCAAACTCAGCTTTATGTACAACTATTAAATTTTAGAATAGTCTTTAGATATTACATCAGCTAAAGTGCTTAAGAAATCCTGCTTAGCAGAGAAGGGACCAGTATGACAATAATAGAAATAATCACTCTGGACAAGAACTGAGTGTTGAAAGTAGGTAAAGGGATATACAAGATAACCTTTCAGTATCTGCATTGCAAATCATAAGTTCCCAAAAAGAAAAAGAAAGCGGGGGGGGGGGGGGGGGGAGGGGAGAGGGAGAGAGGGAGAGAGAGAGAGAGAGAGAGAGAGAGAGTGATACAGAGAGAGAAGCAGGATGCAGGGAGGGTGGTGGGTAGGAGGGAAAAACTGGGGAATGGGGACATGGTGGTGGGAAATGTATACTAGTGAAAAGGTGGGTGTTGAAACATTATATGACTGAAACCCAATCATGAACAACTTTGTAACTGTGTATCTCACTGTGATTCAATAAAAAATAAACAAAAAATACCCACCTCCCAAGAAATAAATTACTTATTTAGTAACTAAAATTAAAATAATGCATTTTTAACAGAAAAAAATCCTGTTTTGTGTATTTCTTGTTACTGTCTTTTTTTTGCCATGTGGGCAGCACTGGGGGAAGGTACAGCCAGGGACTACTCGAGTGAGGCAAATGATGGAGGGCATAGTACTGTCTGTGTTTTGAGATACTCTCTTAAATATACGGTAAAGGGTTGATTTAAGAAGTAATCCATGCGGGGCCGGAATGATAGCACAGCAGGTAGGGCATTTGCCTTGCACATGGCCGACCTGGGTTCTATCCCTGGCATCCCATATGGTCCCCCAAGCACCACCAGGAGTAATTCCTTAGTGCAGAGCCAGGAGGAACCCCTGAGCAACGCCGGGTGTGACCCAAAAAGCAAAAAAAAAATAAATAAATAAAAAGGAGAAGTAATCCATGCAATTTTGAAACTGCTGATTCATATCTATTTGATTACTGAGAATCTGTCATCTTTCAAAGGTATTTTAAAAATGCAAGCCTAGGAGCTGGAGCGATAGCACAGCGGGTAGGGCATTTGCCTTGCACACGGCAGATCTAGGTTCAATTCCCAGCATCCCATATGGTTCCCTGGGCACCACCAGGAGTGATTCCTGAGTGCAGAGCCAGGAGTAACCCATGAGCATCACTGGGTATGACCCCCCCCAAAAAATGCAAGCCTGTTAGAACACAAACATGCATTAATAATGAAAACTGATTTCTAATCTCATGTTTTAGAAGTAGTTGTTCATTTCACTGCAGGGAAAGGTCAAACCTAGGTCTTACAAATGCAATGCAAGGCAACTACTCTACCGCTGTGGTATATCACTAAGTCCTCTAGAAGTAATGTTCACAGTTCACTTTACTATTTATTTATTTTTGGCTTTTTGGGTCACACCTGGCGATGCATAGGGGTTAATTCTGGCTCTGCATTCAGGAATTATTTCTGGCTCTGCATTCAGGAATTACTCCTGGCTCTGCACTCAAGAATTACTGCTGGCAGTGCTTGGGGGACCATATGGGATGTTGGGAATCGAACCCTGGTCAGCCACATGCAAGGCAAATGCCCTACCTGCTGTACTATCGCTTCAGGCCCTCAGAGTTCATTTTATAGAAAATGAGGTTAAACTACATTGTTATATACTTTAAAATGTAATTACATAGCACAGACATCTTTTGCATGCAACACATGTAGAGCTAATGCTAAAACAGGTTGACACTGTGTAGATGAATCAATTTTACAAGGCTTGTTGATGTATGTGCATGCAGGTATAAAATTAAACTTTTAGACTTTGTATTTCCAGGAGGCTGCTAAGTCTGAAGTAAGAATCAGTTTATTTTTCATGTCTCAGACTAGCAAAAAATTAAAACATACTTAGTTTCAATGAAAAATGTAGGGGCAATGTGACTAACATATTATGGATTTATTGATAGATTTTTTTTTTTGAAAACCAGTTTGGCAATAGCTCTGAACTAGGATTCTTTCTTTCTTTTTTTTTTTTTAGAAGGTGTGGTTTCTTTTTTTTTTCCCTTTATTTTATTTTTTTTTTTACAGTTGTAGATTTACAATTTTTTGTGCTTGGGTTTCGATTATACAATGATCAGATACCCATCCCTCCACCAGTGCCCATTTTCCATCACCATGGATAATATCCCCCCACCCCCGTCCCCCCTGTCTCTGTGGCAGGGCAATCCCCTGTGTTCTCTCTCTCTTTTTGGTGTTGTGGTCTGCAAAAGAGGCATTGAGTGGCAAACATTGAACTAGGATTCTTTCTTATAGAAACATTTACTCCAATAGAGAAAGACATACAAGGATATTATAGAGCATTGTTAGAGTAAAAAATCTGGAATATCTAAATGTTCACCAGACAAGGTTAAATAAATTTGATTCCTCTAGCTTTAGAAGCACAATATGGCACTAACTCAGTGGCAGAGCACCTGATATGTATGCATGAGGAAACAGGTTTGGTCCCTGGCTCTGCCACAAATGCACCCGACACAATTCTGGCAGCTCTCTGGGACTCTCTCCTCACCCCCACCCCGAGGGCCATAACAAAATGTGTGATCCCTGATGCACTTCGACCATGTGTGTGTGAGAGCACTGCAAATAAAGTGTACAGCCCCAGGGAGCACTCTGACTTTTAAAATATGCGGGAGCACCGCAGTCAAGTATTTAAAGTGCACTGAAACCCTGGTAACTGCAACACCAAGAAGGAAAGGGGAAATAATGTGTATAGAAGATGAAGAACCATCATCTTTTGGCCCAAATCCAAGAATTTTAAAGTCTAAGATCTTCATGCTGTCTCAGTAATACGACTTATAATTTCAGTTCTTTTCTGAGAAGAAATAGACTCTAAGGAGACAGTGCTCAGTGTTCCTGAGGCCCACCCTCTGGGACAGAGCCAGGTCAAGTCTCTCGAGCTCCTCTGTGGGCAGGAGGGTTAATGTTGAGGCCTAGCAATCTGATGTTGCTTGGGTCCAGTGGCACTGGACCCTAAGGTCAGGAAGCACCAAGCATCAGATCTGGGGCCCCATGAATGCCAGGCAAATGCTCCAGTCCTTGAACTATCTCCCCAGCCCTTGGTATTATTTCAATAGTGCTTAATTTTCACCTCTAGGCTCATCATAACCCGGGTTGATTCCTTCGTCCCTCTCAGAGAGCCCGGCAAGCTACTGAGAGCATCCTGCCCACACGGCAGAGCCTGGCAAGCTACCTATGACATATTCGACATGCCAAACACAGTAACAACAAGTCTCACAATGGAGACATTACTGGTGCCCGCTGGAGCAAATTGATGAACAACGGGAGGACAGTGCTACAGGCTCATCATACTACAAAAATCTTCTCTATCTCTGGAAAAAATGTTGCCCAGATTCATTTTCAGGGATGATGATTATTTAGCACTTTCAGTGAAGTACCATGACTTATAATACTGTTAATTATTTTTACAAGTATACATTGTTCCAACACCACACCCACCACCAGAAAGCCTACTTTCTTCCACCAGTGTCCTAACGAACCCTCCCATCCAAACAACTTGCCCCACATAAGCTCATTTCTGTAGACGAAATCTGCAGTTCTGAGGCTTTGTTTACTGAGTTTCTCTGTCTCCGACTATGACAGAGATCTTTTTTGATTGTGGAGGTGGTGACGCCTACACACAGATAGATGAACAGAGCCAAACTCCTTAAATTCTATAAAACTGTAAATGATAAATTGATATATTTTTCAAAAACTATCTTTTTATATATACATAAATTTAAAAAATAGCATAAATAGTTTTATGCTAATACTTTTAGATTTCGATTTTGAGTGGTAGGTGTGGGTTTACTCCTGACTCTGCACTTGGGGATCACTCCTGGTGGGGCTCAGGGGATCATATGGGGTGCCTGGTGCCAATCCCGGGTCAGCCACATGCAAGGCATGTGCTCTACCCCCTCAACTATCTCCCCAGTCCCCTACATTTTAAGATTTACATGAAACAGATTAAAATCTATAAATGTATACTTTAGTAAGAGTGTGGAGAAACCTTTAAAAAATTCAAAGGGAAAATCTGATAGGCCTACAAAAGTACAGGTGTTTTATCCTAAAAGGGTAATGTTGGTTTTATGATAGAAAACATACTATAGATAATGCTTAAGTATCTGCATTAATAAGTAAAAGAAAAAGTTCTATATCATTTTTATGTTTATAGACATAAAAATAATTTGGATACACAGTACATTCAAAATAAATGAAACCTTAATTCATTATTTAAAAAATATAAAACCGTGGAACCAGAGCAATAGTATAGCAGGTAGGGCATTTGCTTTGCACAGAGCTAATCTGGGTTCAATCCCTGGCATTTCATATGGTCCCCCAAGAACTTCCAGGAGTAATCCTGAATGCAAAGCCAGGAGTAACCCCTGAGCAATGCTGAGTGTGGCCCCCACTAAATAAATAAGTAAATAAATAAAACCTAAAACCCTTAGGAATAAAAAAGATAAAGGACAACCATATTCACTGATGGACACCAGGCTCAACGGCAAAGTGTTAAGGTTGTCTTGTCTCAAAGGAGCTCCTTTAATGCTTCTTTTAAACTGGTTTCAAGGCCACAAAATTCTGATAATGATGTATCCTGGGAGTTTTTCTATTTGGGTTTATTTTTGCTGAGACTCTTCGAGTCTATTATTATTATTATTATCATCATTATTATTATTATTGGACTAGAGCAATAGCCCAGGAGGTAGGGCATTTTCCTTGCACGCAGCCGACCTGGGTTCGATTCCTCCACCACCCTTCTCGGAGAGCCCAGCAAGCTACCAAGAGTATCTCGCCCGCACAGCAATGCCTGGCAAGCTACCCGTGACGTATTCAATATGCCAAACACAGTTACAACAAGTCTCACAATGGAGACATTACTGGTGCCCGCTTGAGCAAATCGATGAACAACAGGAGGACAGTGCTATTTATTATTATTATTTATTATTATTATTTTTAATGGGGACTGGGTGGGAGAGATAGTACAGGGGGAAAGGCGCTTGCTCTGCACATAGCTGCCCAGTTCGATCCAGCACCATATATAGCCTCCTGAGCACAACCAGGAGTGTTCCCTTAGCACAGAGCCAGAAGTAAGCCCTAAACTTGGTTGGATGCATCCCGAAAAACAAAACAACAAATAAGCAAATGGGAATTACACTCAGCTCTCAGAGAGTCTTTATGTTCTTTATAGTTTGTGGTGCCAGGAATCGACCATGCATGGCAAGTTCCCTACAGATGAGCAACATTTGCAGCCTTTCAGGGATTAATTGGCATGTACCATTTACCTGATTTGTAGGGTAAGTTGGCAGGAAACCGCTGGAAGCTTGGGCTGCAGCTCCCCCTACTGGTCCTGCAAGGTTAATGCCCATGACGGGCTGCCCGAGGTTGAGGGCCATGGAACTGGCAGGGACTGAAGGCATCCCAGTTGGCTGACTCACGGCAGGAGGCAAAGTCATGGGAAAGCCAGTTAAAGTTGGAACAGGAGCTGCTGGCAACTGGCTTAGAGCATCAGGACTCATGGCAGGAACACCCCTCTATGCAGGACAGGAGGAAAATACAAGGAGCCTCTTTAGGAAACCGTAAGCCAAATACGGTGTAAGTCAGATGTGAATACAAAATCTACAGCACTGAAATTCTCCCTAAACTCCTAAATTTGACACAAGAAAATATGCTAAGGCTCCTCCAAACCTATTACTAAGCAAAGAAATGGCCAACACATTATCAGCTCTGACATTTTCACTTTGACAAATATCGGTAGATGGTATTACTATTATCTAATTCAATATAATCATCATTAAAAATGATTTATACTATGATAAAAATGGTTAGCTTAGAGAATAGCTTACCTGCAGCTACCTAATTGTAAACAGGAACTCAAAGGACAGAAGAGACTATAATTTTTCAAGATCAGGAAGAATAGGTAGATGGTATTACTATTTCAGACTTTTAAATGTTTTGCTAGTACACATATCATATAAATGGTACATTTTTGAAACACTATATCCTGAAAATAAATTTTATTCCAGGAAAAAATTCTACGTTACAGTCGAAACAAATTAATATTACTCGGCAAGCTACCGAGAGTATTCGATATGCCAAACACAGTACCAAAAAGTCTCCAATGGAGACGTTACTGGGCCTGCTCGAGCTCAATTCATATTGAAAAGTTGCTTGATCTAACAAGACATACTGTCTACCTGTGTTACTGCGATCATAGCAAGAACAGTAAAAAGTTCTTCTTTAGTAAGTTTGCCAGGTGTAGTTCGATTAGCTAAGGCCCATATTTGTCCAAGAGTTTCCCTGGGAAGTCCAGATGACATCAGAATGGGATAAAGTTTAGCAGTATCTATTCCAGTTGGAGTCATTGTAGTTTCTAAAATTTTCTTATAGGCATCTGTTAAGGGAAAAAGCAGATTACAAATGTTAATATAAGTGAGTTACTTTTTTTTGTTGGCCTGGGTCTTCTTTAAGAATGATCTCTATTGGGGGCTAGAGCTATAGTATAGTGGGTAGGGCATTGGGTAGGGTGTTTGCCTGGCATGTGGCCCACCCGGGTTCAATTCCCAGAATCCCATAAGGTCCCCTGAGCACCTCCGGGTGTGACCCGAAAAGCAAAAAAAAAAAAAAGAGAATGATCTCTGATGGACTCGAAAAGGTAACAGGTTAGAGTACAGGGTTTTGCACGTGGGATACCTGAGTCTGAATCTGATCCAGAGCACTGCATTTAGTCCCCTGAGCACTAGGCTGGGAGTAGCCTCTGAGGAGCAGTGAGGATGGTCCCAAGACCAAAGGGGACGCCTCCCAGGGAGGCTTGGGAGTTGTTCCCAGCTGTACAAGAGGGGATCCTGCACTGCTAGGAAATAAATCCAGGCCTCCTACACATAAGCATGCATTTATTCAACCTCCTGAGCTAGCTTTCTGGCTCTAGAATAATACTTTTTTTTTTTTAACTTTCAACTTGTTCTATTTTTAATGCTGGGGACTGAACCCAGAGCTCTATAGAAACAAATCATTTACACAATGGGGTACACACCCAAACAAGAATAATCTAAAGCCTAATTGCTTTTATTATTTGTTTGCTTTGGCTATACCTAGGAGTGCTCAGGGCTTATTCCTGGCTCTGTGCACAGGCATCACTCCTGGCAGGGCTCAGGGAAACATGGGATGCTGGGGGTCAAACCCAGGTCAGTCAGTGTATGCAAGGCAAGAGCCTTATCCACTGTACTATCTCTTTGGCCCCATTATTAGTCATAAATGATGTTAAGCCAGGGTTTGAGCTGCTATTCAAATGGGAATTGTAACAATTTAACATTCTAACAATTAAGAACAGGTTGGAGCTTTGTCCTAAGGGTAAGTATATGGGTAAAAAATAGTAAAAATAAGACAGAAGTAGTATAAGTAGATGTTTTGCACCTTAAAACGGAAGTTGTATTGTAATAATGCTGGGAATAGTTGAACATCATTGGGGAATACTTTTCAGAGAGAGACCCTGTTTCAGTAAGGTGAGCAAGCAGAGTGTTTGAAAAAAGGAAGCTACTGCTAAGTTCTTCCACGATTAATCTGAACTTCCAAAACACAAAACAGAAAGATTGTTAGAGAAAGCAGGGTTTTCATATTTTTGTATGGAATACCGATGTTAAAGGGGACAAATTTCTACAAAGCAATTATTGCTATTTATTCAAATTAAGCACATTCTAAGGCTTATTTTTGTTAAATATGGCAATACTCATTAAAAGAGTTTTTGGGGATAAAAGTGGATAGGGTTAAGGCAGACACCAGGATATAGAACAAAAATGCTGTTAGATTTAGATATGGACTAGAGGCAAATAGGCTATCCATAGGAAAACATCTGTGGAGGGCTAGAAGATGACTCACCTAGCTAGTGTGAGAAAGTGAGCTCAAATCTTGACACTAGGGTAAAAACAAAAAGCATTTTTGGCTAGGAAATTATGTGTGTATCGATGTTTGGAATGAAGAGGAAGAAAGAAAAAAAAGCTGGCAGAAAGTGAATACAACTACAAAATATAACAAGACATAGATTCTGTCTGACTTAAAGACAGAGAAGAAAAGTAATTCATCTGCTGGAATTTCCAGAGTTTTATTTAATAAAGAGTTTTAATAAAGAGTTTTATCTAATAAAGTATACACTAGCTTTAGTTTTTTTAAATTTATTTATTTATTTTTATTAAGTCACCCGTGAGACACACAGTAACAAAGTTGTTCATGATAGGGTTTCAGTCATACAATGTTTCAACCATCCCTCCACAACCTACATTTCCCACCACCAATGACCCTAGTATTCCTCCTGCCACAACTAGCTTTAGTTTTTGATCAATTACAAAAACTAACATCTCATGAAAGCTATCTTTTGTTTCAAGAGAAAGCAAAGCACAGAAAATGAAAAGTTATATTAACATAGCACAGCGGTAGAGCGTTTGCCTTGCATGCGGTCAACTTGGCCGACCTGATTTCGATTTCTCCGCCCCTCTCGGAGAGTCCGGCAAGCTTCCGAGAGTATCTCGCCCGCACGGCAAAACCTGGCAAGCTCCCTGTGATGTATTCGATATGCCAAACACAGTAACAACAAGTCTCACAACAGAGACGTTACTGTGCCCACTCGAGCAAATCGATGAACAAAGGGAGGACGGTGCTACAGTGCTATATTAACATAACTTATGCTACTCTAATTGTTATTCTGTGCACAAAGCTTTAACCTACACAGACCGTTCCCTTGTGTTAATATGGCTGCAAAATTGAACCTAAGTGACTGTTTTTGACTTAACAGTAATCAAAAAATAATGCAGAAAAAAAAGAGTAAATACCATGCCACTAGTGTCTTTTACTTCATATACTTTATATAACAAAGAGGACGTACTTTTTAAAAAAAGAAAAAAATATTTTATACATATATATGTGTATATATATATACATACACACACACATACACACACATATATATATATATGTATATAAACTCGGGGCTAGAGAAATAGTGCGGTGGGTAGGGTGATTGCCTTGCATGTGGCCTACTGAGTTTGATCCCAGCATCCCATATGGTTTCCCAAGCCTGCCACGAGCGATTACCAAGTGCAAAGCCAGGAGCACCACTGGGTATGACCCAAAAACCAATAAATAAATTTAAAAAAATAAACTAATCATTTAGCACTTGGAAAATCACATTAAATATATCAGTACTATTCTTGATAAGCTTCATAATCTATGAAATGAATATTTATAATATCTTAAAAAATAAATCTACAAAAGAGCTTTCAGAAACAATAAAATCCCAAATGACAAAGTTATCTCAATTTCTGCTGCATATTTAATAATAATGACAGTACAAATATTTACAACTACTTTTATGACATTAGAAGCAAAATACTCAGTTGGAAATCTGGGACAAAGAAACTTTTTACCTGGAACTAAACTTTCATTGTAAATCCAAGCAGGCATTCTAGTCTGGACAGGATCCTGTGAGGGAAATACCCCCACACCTAGAAGACAAGAAACATTATCTACCAATCTACTGCATAAAATGATCCACACAGGAGATGGCGGAATCATAGTGAATCATAGTTTTTATAAGGGCATTGGCTGGAGATGTTAAAAAAAAAAGTCACCAATATAACTAAACTATTTGGTTCCAAACAGATTTTACACAATTCTAAACAATTCTTAATTAAGCCCTGACCAAAAAATATACTGAGATTAATACCAAAATTAGTATTTTGAATCATGGAGGCTTGCACTATTTCACATGTATTGCAATTTAAGAGAAAAGTATGCAAGATGGTGGTTTAAAATGGTACATGCGAAAGGACTGCGGTGTCAGGGTTCAAACTTAGGTTCTCACATATGTGAGGCATATACTTGACCACGCAGTCACATCCACAGCCCGGCGTTCAAAACTTAACGTTCAACTTTGCTTGCAGCTTTTAATAACATGTCTTAGTAAAGTCTGACTATTTAAGATTTGCTGCCATACAGATATTTTGAGGTCACATTGGCCTACCAAGACTGTAAATGTTTACATTCTTTAAAGGCACACCTTTTAAATTTTGTAAACTATTCTCCAAGGATACTTACATTCTAAAGATCTTTGCAAGCTGAGTTTTAAAAATTTGTATCTTTTATGCAGCAGTGTACAAGATTTATTTCAGAGAAACAAAGTTATATTGTCATTGGTGACTTTTCCAAAGTAGATTTGAACTTTCAGTCCTTACAGAAGAACAGAAAGTGAGTGTGTGTGTGTGTGTGTGTTTGGGGGGTAGGGGGGTTTAAATAATTTTTATAAAATACAAGGAGATTTAAAACCAGGAATGATTCAAATTTTAAAAATTGGTTATCAAGCAATTATATAAAAAAGAGTAACAGTGCTTTGGAAGAATTTAGAACAAAATCATAAGGGTTAATTGGAGAAAAGAACGCATTAAATATATTTTAAGCAAAATTTCGATTAGCAAAATCAAGCAGCATTCATTTTAAGATTAATGCTTAAGTTGTTAGCATTTGAGCGACATTTGGTTAAGTGAACTTGTTGCTGAATATTTCATGAGCTCACCACTCTCTTCATTGGACAGGTTTTGATCTGAAGTCTTTTCTGCGTCTGCAGTAGTGGTACCACTTACACGGCCATCTACAGCACCCCCGTTATTGGCTGTAAAACTGGAATGAGTTTTACTGGAACCTGGGACTAGGTCTTTGTGCTCAACTTCAGAGGTATTTAACTTAATTTGTTCCTGCCCAGATGTACTTATATCACAAGATACTAGAAGCTTCTTTTCCAAGGAATGGCCTAAACAAACGGCATGAAGGATTATTTGTTTATGATTGCAACTTTCTAATCGTTTCAATCATCCATTCCCACCCCCATATGCTAAAGGGAAGGCCCTGCTAGAGAGTAACTTTTGAAATGATTCAATCATCATGCATTTGTATAGGATGTGAGAGATTTTAGAGAACTTAAACAACATTAGTTTGACTCTCAAGAATTTTGAGACAAGAGGTAGGATGGCTTAGGAATCTGGTGAGCAACACAAGATATGAACACTTTCACTAACTACTGGATCTCTTTCTGCATTTGTTAACTGAAAGAGTGGGACTAAGCTCTCAGCATGACTCATGAAAAATGTGTAACTGTTCTCCTCCCCCCATTATTTCACACAGAATAAAACTGAGGTAAATGTTTAAGACTTGTTCAAGAACAAACCTTGGACAAGTGAAGAAAACCAGACTTTAATTCCATTTCTTTGTGACTAAAAGGAGTGTTTTGTTGTTGTTGTTGTTGAGTCACACCCAGCGGTGTTCAGGACTTATTCCTGGCTCTATACTCAGGGATCACTTCCAGCAGTGCTTGAGAAACCATATGGTGCTGCGGACTGAGCCCAGTTTGGCAGAGGGCAATGTAAGTGCTCTACCCACTGCCCACTGTACTAGGACTCTGGCCCCAAGAGCATTTTCCTCATTAGTCTTAAGAAAATTCTATTACTGACTGATCTTCTCAAAGAAGAATAATCTCCTTCAGAAATCACTTTGCTTTAAAATTCTAAGACCGTTGAGGAGAAAAAGTTTAAGTCACGTTTTTAGGGTGGGCAGCCCTTAGAATTAAAAAAAATCTAGAATCTCATTCTGGTGAATTTCAACAGTACTCTTACAGTGAGGCACATGTTTCTTTGTTTGCCAACATCTCTGTATTGTCTTTACAGAAGAGAAAAAAGCAACATCATCCTAAATTTCTTGAAGGATACTCTGGTCACTATTCTAGGAGTCACTTGCTCTCTGTACACGGTGTGAAGTAGAGCAGCAGAGAAATCAAGACTTTGCCTACAGACCCCACATAAGGCAAAGGGCACTGAGAGCTGACCTGGAGGGAGAGGCTGTGCTCCAGCCTTCTGTGAATGCGACTGGCCAACTGGGATGGTGGCATGGAAAGACTGAAAAGGCTGGGAAGTGGAAGGGAGCCCACATGTGGGGACTTCCATGGGCCCCTGCATAAAGTCACTGAATTCTTCTTCATCAAGAAAAGCAGGTGATGGGGAGACAGTTTTAGTAGAATGAGATGTGGGATAATCTGCAAAATGGAAAATGCAATGAAACACACAGAAATGAAAATCAACAAGAAAAGAAATTAGATGTGGTACAATTCTAAAAGAACACAGTAAAACATGAATAGGGAGATGAACAAGGAATAATAATATGTAACAATAGGTATGTAATGTGCAGCAATACTGAATTCGAATTACACACACAATGCAAAAATGCTCTGATGTTATACACAATCTCCTATTTTTTCTCCTCTTTTTCTAAAAAGACTTTTTTTTGTATTTGGTTCAAAAACAAAACAAAAACCAAAATTTCTTTCTTCCTTTTTTAAAATTAGGTCAGTACTCCTCCTCCACTAATAATTTACATGCAAATGGTGATTGCTTTTGAAATGTAAACAATCTAGGTAACATTCTTTCAAGCCAATACATGATAGAAATAACAGAACCCGCCTATATGCTGAGAATGTGTTTTGGAGAGACACATATTCTTATGATAAAGTTTCATAATAACAAAAATACATGGAAAAACTATACACTTCCAAATTTTGATAATCATGCCTAATCTTTACACTCTGCATAAATCATATTTCAGTAAACTTACTACATGGAAAATGAAAATTATAAAAGACCACTAAACATATTACGCGATAGCACAGCGGTAGGGCGTTTGCCTTGCACGCAGCCAACATGGCCGACCCGAGTTCGATTCCTCTGTCCTTCTCAGAGAGCCCGGCAAGCTACCGAGAGTATCTCGCCCACACGGCAGAGCCTGGCAAGCTACCCGTGGCATATACAATATGCCAAACACAGTAACAACAAAGTCTCCAATGGAGACGTTACTGGGCCCGCTCGAGCAAATCGACGAACAACAGGAGGGCCTTTACTTTTACTTTACTTTAAACATATTACTGAGTGACAGTTTTTGGTGAGAAGTACTGAAACTGGAGCACCAAACAGTGCCAAATCAAACAACAGTCAATTTAATAAAATAACCCTTGAGTGAGATCCATATTTTAAGGATCTTAGATTCTGGGGCTGGAGAGGGAGTTCAAAGGGCTGATGGAGTACATGCTTTGCATGTGGGAGGTCAAAATTTGATCCCTGGTACCACATGGTTCCCTAAGCACTTGGAGTGACCCTGAGCATAGAGCTGGGAATAGCCCCTGAGCACCACCAGTGTGGTCCAATAACTTCCCCCATCCAAAACCAAACTCCCATTCAAATACTGTCACTGCCACTGTCCTTCCGTTGTTCATCGATTTTCTCGAGCGGGCACCAGTGACATCTCCTTTGTGAGACTTCTTGTTACTGATTTTGGAATATCGAATACATCACGGGTAGCTTGCCAGGCTTTGCCATATCCAAATACAAATAATTAAAAGATCTCTAATTCTAAGAAATAAAAATATCACTGTGGTATTTTACTGTCAATTATTAGATTCCCTTAATAATCTTCTCTAGGATGTCTACATTTAGCATAAAGTTCATAACAAAACTATTGTCATTTCTTCATTTTTTTTTGTTTGGGGGTACTCCCAATGTTGCTCCAGGGATACTCCAGGGCCTGGAGGCTGGTGTTCCCTGTGGTGGCTGGGAGACCATTTGGAGCAGGGGATCAACCTAGGTCTCCCTTGCATGCACAGCAGTTTTCTGAACTATCTCCCTTGCCCTTCACTGTAGCACTGCACTGTAACACTGTCCTCCTGATGTTCATCGGTTTGCTGGAGCGGGCCCAGTAACACTGTGAGACTTGTTGTTACTATGTTTGGCATATCGAATACATCATGGGTAGCTTGCCAGACTTTGCCGGGCGGGCAAGATACTCTTGGTAGCTTGCTGGGCTCTCTGAGAGGGGTGGAGGAATAGAACTCCAGTTGGCCAGGTAGGCTGGCCACGTGAAAGGCAAACGCCCTACCCGCTGTGCTATCACTTCAGCCCATTTTTAATTATTGAGTTGCTTTGAGCTGCTTAAGTCTAAAATCAGAAGATGCAGTCTTATTTTAAAATAAGTCCTATCTAGGGGCCAAAGAGATAATATAGTGGTAAGGCATTTGTCTTTCAAGCAACAAAGGTTCAAACCCCAGCACCCCATATGGTCTACCAAGTTTGCCAAGAGTTACCTCTGAGTACAGAGCCAGGAGTAAACCCTGAGCTCCACCAGGTCTGGCCCAAAGACCAAAAAAAGAAGGAAAAAAGCAAAATAAAAAAATAAAATCCTAGGGTTTAGTGATGATTCAGTGGGACAAAAAAAGAAAAATAAAATATTTCAAAACCTGTGGGGAAAATAAAAAGCAAAATGAATACAAAAGGTATTGCCCTGCCACAGAGGCAGGGTGGGATGGGGGACATGGGGGGTGGGAGGGATACTGGGATCCGTGGTGGTGGGAAATGGGCACGGGTGGAGGGATGGGTATTCAAAATAAATAAAAAAACAAACAAACAAAAAAAGAATATCACCGTAAAAAAAATGGTATTGCCTTAATTTTAACAATGGAAAAACACTCATGCCACACTGTATTCTGGAACTATGTTTACTGAACATGGTAAATATTTTGGCTTCAGATTATTGCAGCTGTACGTGTATTAGCACATTATATGAAAATACAGGTTTTATGTATTTTAAAGTAAATAGTCTGGTGAGTAGATAGAATAGACTTGAACATTATCAGATGGAGCCCCAAACTAAAACAGAAATTCAAACACGTTAAGTAAATTGTGAACTAGGCCTATAAAAAAATTGATAGTTTTGTTTTTTTGAGGGAGGGTATCTCTGGGGCTCAAACTTGAGTCTCACATGATAAGCATGTGCTCTGTAAAGATGCACCTCTCTGGTTTCTGTGTTTTTTTTTTTCTTTTTGGGTCATACCCAGTGATGTTCGGGGCTATTCCTGGCTTTGTACTCAGGAATTACTCCTGGTGGTGTTTGGGGGACCACATGAAATGCCAGGAATCGAACCCTGGTAGGCCGCGTACAAGGCAAACGCCCGACCCGTTGTACTATGACTTCAGCCCCCTGAGCCACCTCTCTGGGCAGAAGTTAAATTGTCCATAAATAACGAGAATGAGACAGTAAATTTATTACATTTGCCTCCAGTGAATGGATTTTACTAACAGTCACCTATACCGATGACCTATACGGTGCCATACTGACTTCGATTGTTAGTCAAGAAGTTTTATCTACCTTATTTAGACCAGAAGCCCTTAACCCCACTGTAAAAAATGTACAATATCCAAATCTGTGAATTGCCTGCAATAAGAGCTCAGCACTTACTCTTCACACACACGTAACAGTCAACTAAACATACAAGGACTCTCAGTCACCTGTCCACAAAATACACATTTTAAAGAAACGATACCTGGCTTCTTAGGGTGCGATGCTGGAGTAGGGTGCATCTTAGCATCTCTGGAAAACCCATCTAAGTTTCCTTTTATGGCTTCCAAAGCATCATCTCGACTCCTTTCTCCTGACTAGGAGACAATAAATATCGTACTGAGTCTCACTTCATTTTAAATTCTCCAAAATTGAAAGCACAGTAATTATTCTATGCTCAATATTTTTACAACATACTTCTGATAGAGAATCCTCCAAGCCAGAAAAAAAAAGGTAAATGAATAAAACAAAGGCATAATAAAACACAAATTATAATATAAACATTCAATACGAAGGAATCTTTTGTAAATAATCTAGAAAAGCATTCCTCAAAAGGGGCTGGCACAAGGCCCCTTGTAAGCCTTCAGAATATTCCAAGAGGGCTACAAGTGAAATTCAAATTAATGGAAGACCAAAACATAAATCTAGGGGGTCAACCTGTAGGTCTGGATGGGTGGGCCAGGAGTGGTGGGAACAGGAAGGAAATAAAGTTGAAAAAGGGTCATGGTTGGAAAAGATTGAGAAACACTGGCTAGAACACAGTTGTCAGGTATCAGACATTTTCTAATATACTTTCAAGAAAAGGCTGCAAGGACTGTGATCAAAGATTTTTTTTTTTTAAAGGGAATGTGTGTGCACCCTGGTGAGCAAGTACGATAGCTGGTGAGCTTGTGAGTAAGCAGTGCAGTGACCCCCCAGTGAGCAAAACTATAACTTGTGATTCCCGTGAACGTGCATGTACCACTGCAACAAAAGACTGCAAACCTCAGCAGGCACCATGGCTGAGTACACAAGTAACACAACGGGACACATGAGCCCCGCATGAGCACCACAGCCAGGTGCAACACCCACATGATTGCTGAAGCAAAAACACGGGGGCTGGGGGAAGGAAATTAAAAAGGATCGTTTTTTCATTGAAAAACATGCTATTCCCTTCAACAATAACGTGTTTCTTCAGACAAGAAAAATACTCTGTTTGGGGACTCAGAGAAACCAAAATTAACCAAGCTCAGCTTTAGTAACAAAACCCATGGAATGAGGAGAGGTGTGTGCAGCTTGTGTGTGTGTGGGGAGGGGTTGGTGAGCAGAGTACCTTGGGTTTCACGCTACTCAGAAGTCTGAGCTTCTGCTTCTGTTCTTCAAACTGGCGTCGTTTTCTTTCTTCTTCTAACAACTTCTGCTGCTGTTCAAATCGTTTTCTGAAGAAAAAATAGCATCAGTAAAGAACCTGCTTCAGGGATTAGCAAACTATGTCATATTCATATTTCTCCTAATATTATCAATGATATCAAAATTTCTAGAATGAAAAACTTCCACTGCTAATTATATCTATTTTTTTTGCAGGGGGTATGGATGCTCAGGGTACCTGGGGGTTGCCTACAACAATACTCAATCAAACAGGCCTCACTGATTAATACTCAAGCTCATGGTTGAAGTCAGTGCTGCGCAGGCGCTGAGGTGCCGAAGGGCGACCAGTCACAGAGACGTGAGAGTCACTGATTATATGCCTCCAAGGATATGCCTGGCAGTGCTTGATTATTTATCAAGTTAATGCATACTGCTGTATATGTTTTAGGGGTACACTTTCTAATTCTCTCACAGCAATCCTGTTTTCCCACTACTGTGATTTCAAACTACATGGAACGCCTAGAGGTGGGGCTCAGGGGATGCTCAGGGATGTGGCTCTCAGGCTTCAGTGGCACTGGCCTGCATGGAAACCATGGACCTGACAGCACTGCTGGGCACTATAGGTATGATACCTTGGATGTACCGTGGCCAAGTGTGCATCTCCAGGACAACGACAACAGAGAGAAGAGAAAATGAGTAAAACACGTTTTAAAAACCATTTATCAAAATCACAGACTCTGAATCCACCTGATCTAACGCATCCAAAGAAATGAGCTTCCTAAATTAGGAAAGAACTCACTTCTGGTCCAACTTGCAAGGGGAGGAGACAACCAGTAACTTACAAGCAAAGAAAACAAAATCAATAGGGAAGCATATAAAATAAAAACACTCTGCTCTACATGAAAACAAAACAAAACAAAAACAAAAACAACCCTCCACTTGGGAAGGCAATGTCATAGAGAAAAAGAGCAAGCTCAGGGAATCCGAAGGTCTGCACCTGCATGCAGATTTTACTAGTAACTGTGTAACCTGGACTGACAAGTAGCTTTATTTCCCTGGGCCTCACCTTGCCATGGTGCAAAGTAAGAGAACTGAACTGGGAGATCTCCAAGGTTTCTTTTTCAAAGTTATAATAAAAGTATTTAAAAGAGTTTTAAATGCCAACACCAGTTTTGGCTTCAAATCTGCATGTTTTAAAACACATACAGCAATGCAAAAATGTGTCTTGGGGTTGGAGAGATGGTACAGCAGGATGGATGCTTGTCTTGCAGCAGCTGACTCAGGTTCAGTGTCCCCTGCACACCACATGTTCCCCCCAAGCACTGCCAGAAGAGATCCCCGAGTGCAGAACTAGGAGCACAATCTGAGCACAGCTGGGTGTGGTCCCAAAACAAAGCACACAAAAGAACTATCCTGTATCTTTGTTAGTCTAGAATCCTGGAGGTCTCTTACTGTTGCTCTTCAGCAAACTGCTTCTGCATGTCTGGAGTGTACTGTGGGCCTGGAGGACGCATTCCCAGGAAGGGTGCTTGACCCAGGTAAGGCATTCCTGCTGCTGGCATCGGGCCCATGGGTATACCTGCCTAGAAGAAACAGTTACAGACTTAAAACGGTAATTTCTCCTTCTAATTAGTAAAGAAGGCTGCAATTTCTATAAAGTTTTTATTCATAAACTATACAACCAATTTTAATACAAGAACATGGAGAGCTCATCTTAAAATGCTGCCCCTTCTATTTCCTTCACTGTCTTAAGAGGTGACCACAGCTGACAGTCTGGAAGTCTGTGTGTCTAAGATCCATCATGTGCACGTGTACGCGAGCATGCTCTGGGTGGCTCACTGGTCCATACTCGGAGAAGAGGTATATCATACAAGTCTTTGGACTAACTATCACAACATAAGGCAGTTAACTGGCAAAGGGAATGAAATGCTTTCTTGATAATTGTAGCATTCTTCCTTTCATAGAACACATAATTAATGACACATCAACACAAAAGAATAAAGTTTACCCAAGTGTTCTGGAGTAGAAATAGTTTACCAAGATTGTTACTCACAAAATCTTGTAACTATGATGACAATATGAAAATGATTAATTTTCACAGAGTAGAACTTCTCTACTCTTCCAGCTTCTCCCTGACACATTCCCCTCCTGCTCTCTGAGTGGACTCTGGCTGTCCCCTGAAGCCCGTCTCATAGGGAGACTGCTGCTTCTCTTCCACACTTCCTACAAGTCGGTTTTTCATAGAAAAAAAGTATAATCCTTTTTGCTTCTTCATTGGGCCTCTGTTCTCTTATTTTTCAAAAAACCTACACTCTCTTCCTCACTCCCTCTCATAATTTCAATTGTTATCATGTAAGGTCATTCACTGGGCCAGCTTTACAGACTAACAATTAAATCTCAGAAGAGATGCAAACCAAGAGATGCAAAAAATTCAAGGGTACATCAGTGTCCTGAATGAAAACTCAGGAGTGTCCTTGGGAGGGGGTGGGCTCAGTCCCCCAGTTTTGAAGCCTGGGCAGCCTCACCCACAGCCCACAACTGCTGCCACGCCAACAGCCCAACTCCACTGCTTCATGACTAATATCTACAGAGATAACAAAAATTCTAGGTACACCAGTTTTCAGGCTGAGAACTCTGGGGTCTTCCTGGAGTGGAGGCGGGCAGCCTCCTTCTACTGCTCGGTACTTCTGGAAGCCTGACAGCCACAAAAGACACACCCACATCCCACAACCCTTCTCACATAAACTCAGTCCAGTTACACAGCCTGAAGTTTCTGGAGCTTGCAGCTGCCATTTGCAGTCACGTGACACCTCCAAATCTGACAATACTGATATCCCAGTAGAAATACACTAAAAAATACACTAAATTAGATGGGAAAGAACATAGAAACCAACTATACTCAATAAACAATAACACAGAGGGCTCAACTACCGTAGTAAATTCTCAGACATGTATTTAGTGACCCCATGATGAGATATAACGATTTTCACAAATTTTATTTTTCTCAAGTATTTTTTTTGATAATTCCATTAGCCATTTATTTGTAATAAGCAATATAAAAATGTTGTGTCTACTCTTTACAATAGCCAGAAACTGGAAGAAACCTGAATGCCCAAGAACAGATGACTGGTTAAAGAAACTTTGGTACATCTACACAATGGAGTACTATGTAGCTCTTAGAAAAGATGAAGTCATGAAATTTACATACAAGTGGTACAATATGGAAAGTATCATGCTAAGCGAAATGAGTCAGAAAGAGAGGGATAGACATAGAAAGATTGCATTCATCTGGGGGATATAAAGTAACAAAGTATGAGATTAATACCCAAGAATAGCTGAGATCAGCACCAGGAGGATTACTCCATAACTTAGAGGCCAGCCGGGTATCCTAGAGGAAAGGGCAGTTCAGATAGAGAAGGGAGCACCAAATAAAGGATGTTTGGAGGATCCTCCCAGGAGGGGAGATGCATGTCGAAAGTAGACTATGGACTGAACATGTTTGCCACTCAATGCCTCTTTTGCAGACCACAACACCCAAAAGGAGAGAGAGAACACAGGGGATTGCCCTGCCACAGAGACGGGGGGATGGGGGGATGGGGGTGGGAGGGATATTATCCATGGTGGTGGAAGATGGGCACTGGTGGAGGGATGGGTATCTGATCATTGTATGATTGAAACCAAAGCACAAAAAATTGTAAATCTACAACTTTAAAAAAAAATAAAATAAAATAAAGGGAAAAAAATGAAAAAAAATGTTGTGTCTATTAAAAGGGCAGGCTTGGGGTGAGGTTGGGGAAAGGGGGACATACTGGAAGGAAGGTCACACTGGTGGGGTTGGTGTTGGAATATTAAATGCCTTTTACTGATTTATGAAAAACTTTGTAAATCATGATTTTTTTTTCTTTTTGGGTCACACCCGGCAGTGCACAGGGGTTACTCCTGGCTCTACACTCAGGAATTACTCCTGGCGGTGCTCAGGGGACCATATGGGATGCTGGGAATCGAACCCGGGTCGGCTGCGTGCAAAGCAAATGCCCTACCCGCTGTGCTATCGCTCCAGCCCCTAAATCATGATGTTTAAATAAAGGGAAAATAAAAATATTGGTGGGAGGTGGGTGCCAAAAAAGATAGTATAGAGGGTAGTACACTTGCCTTGCATGTAGCTGACCTGTGTTTGATACCCGGCATGCAGTCCCTTGAGCACTGCTAGGAGTGATTCCTGAGTGCAGAGCTAGGAAACCCTAAGCTTTTTTGTTTGTCTTTGGGCCACACTGGGAGGTTCCAGGGCTGACTCTCACCATGATGTTCAGGGGACCACAAATAGTCGCATTAAGTCACAGCTCTCCAGCACTTTAAAGTATCCGCCCATCCTAAATTTTTTTTTTGGTAGGATGATAGTTGGTCTCATACTTCACAATGCTCAGGGATCACTCCCGGCAGGGCTTGGGATTAGACAGGGAACAGCTGCATGCAAGGCAAATCTCCCTGGACCTGAATTTTATGTTTCAAACAAATCTTTGCAAATCACACTGACCCTGAATTTTTTATTTTATACAAACCATTTAGGTTATTGACACTAACATAAATATTCTTATATTTTGGGTTTTAAGCCCTTTCAGCTGGGACTTCAGAGGTGGAAAGCTTAGCTCTGTGCCCAGTGGCAAACTGCAGGTACACAACAGTGGCAACGTAGCAATGAGACCCCAGCTTCCTTCAGTGCTAACATGTCACTTCTTTTCTCTTCACATTTCTTCTCTCCCTTTGTTTTTTGGTGACTCTTTCCTGAATCATCTGAGTACAAGATGTGTATTTATGCCTCTTCATGCCTCTTTCATACTCTTACAATGCATTTCCCAAGAACAAAAATATTATTGATCTGTGGTCTTTATTATGATAAAAAAAATTGCAAAGTTATCCTTTGTTCCAAGCTTATGTACTGGTGTGTGGGAAACAAGTTTTGTTAGGCAGAGACAGTTTCTCACAAAGACTTTTCTTGGGAAAACAGAAATAGTTTTCACTTGAGTAAGAAAGCCTTGAGATAATCCCTACCCAAATCACAAATCCAGTCTCTTGTGAAGCCATTAAGACAAAGAGACAACTTTTAATTTCGTGGCCCTGGGCCTGGCATTCTTTATTCTATGAAAGTTTCATTCTTATTCAGGGGCTGGGGAGATGGCTCAGTTGACTGAAACACATACTCTGCATATAGCGGCCGACCCACACGGCTGACCTGGGTTCAATCCCCAGCACCCCATATGATCTCCTGAGCTTGCCAGGAGTTATTCCTAAGGGTAGAGCCAGGAGTTAAGCCCTGAGAACTGCCAGGTGTGGCCAGAAAACAAAAGAAAATCCAAAAAAGCAATGAAATACAAAAATTAACAGACCAAAAGGGAGAAACCTACAGAATCATCATTATCTAATCATCATTAGATACAGAAAAAGAACTTGACAAAATTAGCACCATTCATAATGTTCAACAAATCAATATACAAAAAACATACAATGAACATCACACTCTATGATAAGAGACTAAAAGCTTTTTCTCTCAAGATAGCCACTTTCAGTTTCTATTTAACATAGTATTTCATGCAATTAGGCATGAAGAATAAAAGGTACTCAAATTACAAAGAAGTAAAAGCATGAGACTGAAGACGATGCAATCTTTCCTTTTTCTCTTTTTTGGGTCACACCCAGCGATGCTTAGGGGTTACTCCTAGCTCTGCACTCAGAATTACTCCTGGCGGTGCTTGGGGGACCATGTGGGATGCTGGGGGTTGAACCTGGGTTAGCTGCTTACAAGGCAAATGCCTTACATAAAAATCTTTTCTGTAGAAAATACTAACAACTTCATAAAAGATGTCAGAATAAACAAACTCAGCAAAGTAACAGAATATGTCAACTTACAGCAAAAAAAATAGTGCTCTCTCTACATACCAAGCACCAAACAATTTTGAAAAGAAAAAAAATACAGAAACAGTCCCATTTATAAAAGCATCAAAACGAGTAAAATACTTCATTTCATTTCATTTCATTTCATTTCATCATCCTGTTATTCGTCGATTGCCTCGAGCAGGCCCCAGTAACGTCTCTTTCATCCTAGCCCTGAAATTATATTCAAGACTATTTAGGAGAATGAGACCCATCATTGTTACTGGTATTTGTCATATTTGGTACGCCACGGGGAGTTTGCCAGACTCTGCCCTGTGGGCAGGCTACATTCGATAGCCTGCAAGTTTGTCCAAAGTAGAAATAAGACAATAAGATGTCATAAAAAAAAAGGTTCTGTTTTTTTTTTTTTTGTTTTGTTTTGTTTTTTTTTAACAGAACAAAATACTTCAGTCAGAGAAAAAGAGCTTAATGGGGCTTAATGGCTGAGCAAATGCAAACCCAGAAGGTCAGGGTAAAAACCCAGGCACTGCCTCGTTCCTTGGCATTTGCCAGACTACCCCAAAATAAAATATACAAAATAACACAGAAGGAAATACTTAAGAATTAACCAAAGAGGGCAAAGACTTGTATAACAAAAAAGTACAAAACCTTGGTATAAGAACTAAACAACAACAAAAAGAAACATATCCTATAT